ATTCGGCAGGGAACTTAGCCAATTATCACACAAGTTACAAAGGGATAATCCTACAGCGTCGAGGCATAATCAAAAAATGCTAGAGGTAAATATTTAATTAGAAAATTTCAACTTTTTATGGTAGTACCGCACCAATTATGTGTAACATAATTTTATTAGTTCATACTATGTTAAATCTACTTTAAAAGCAGAATCTTATAAGAATGTACACTATTACACAACTGTGTTATATGCAAATATATACATACTACACAAATGTATAATATAATATATAATATAATATTAGTATACAGTCATCTTTTCAATGTCTGTACCAATGCAAACATGATTGTTTTAAGTAAAACAAGTAGTTTTACAATTCCATCAGTGTAACTATGAATCAATTATCGTTGCTATGCCAAATATGTGATCAATATACAGTGGTACCCCGACTTATGAGCGACCTGGTATACGAGTGTTTCGAAATACGAGCCGCCAAAGGAGCGATTCGTTGCTGCGGCATATGAGCAAAATCGGAGATACTAGCTATGGGCGAGTAAGAGTTTTCGAGAAAGATTTTGATGGCAAAATAGGACATGAAAAAGTTTGTCAGTTGTTGCAATGATTTTCCTAGCATAGAAATAATTTGATTGTTTTATGATAGTAAATTATTTGGCAGTTAGTCATTTCATATATGTATTGACATTAATTGTGTAGTATCAATTTACACATGTGAATATATCAAGGATTATTTTATCGTTTTGAAATTTTAACTATACATTAATAGTGATTGTACAGTTATATATATTGGGTTTTAACAATGATATATGTTGGATTTGCGTTTTTTTGTTTTTTTATGCATTTACAAACAATTTATTTAAATTTGTAGCCATGGGTCCAACAAAAAATTTGATAATAGTATGGATGTACGAGCGTAACACATCATAGATATGCATAGGGTTTAAACAGAAGGATTTGATAAAGGGTATAATTCCTAAGAACATCACAATAATTTAACAGCAGCTTTTTAAACACTAAAATTTTATGGATAAAAATCACTCCGAAAAAGTTGCAACACTTTGAACTTGGGGGTTGTTTAACGAAACATGTCTAACTCATTTCCGCAATATCAAGAATGGATAGGAAAAAACAATAATAAATAGCAAAATTTTGTTTGATATAAAAAACTTAACAAAAACCAAAGCACTGGAACGAATTATTGGCATTTCAAGGTATTTCTATGGCAAAAAATGCTTTGAGATACGAGGGATTAGACATACAGGAGCATGGTTTCGAAATGAATTGATCTCGTATATCAGGGTACCACTGTATTGTAATATATTTATTTTAATTTTTTTGTATTTTGTTTTATACTTTCAATCTGCAAAATTTGGTAATTAATTATTTGTTTTGATTTAGGATGCATTTAGTTTATTAGCCTATTCAAATCCATGGGCCAGTCCTTTAGGTTGGCAACTAAGCCCATCACGACGAGAACCTGTTTGTGCAGCCCTAAACTCTGCAATTTTAGGTAAATTTTAACACAAAAATTGACTGACATTCTTGTTAATTAATAACCATTTTATTTTTATTAGAATCTATGGACCTGCCTTGGAGCCCTCCCTTAGAAGTTGCCACGAGTCATGCTTGGAACTTGCTACAACTTATGGCTAAAACCGGTTTGGGTTCTTGCGCCTTTGCGAGTGTAGAAGAACTGCTGGATCAGTCTCGACACTGACACTGTACGTTGTGACTCTGATAATAAACCAGGTAATTTGCTTATGCATCATTTATTAGTTTGTATTAAATAATATTGTAGAATATTTTTATCCACAAATTTTATGTGGACAGATTGTACTAATTACTATGTTCTGTAATTATTTTATTACTTTAAAGTACCTAATTAAAACAAAATGAATTTGAAAGTTTATGAAAAATTTTGATTTGCACTATGAAGCCTTTCTTTATATTATTTGTGAACCTGTAATTGAAATAAAATTATGACTAGTAATTGTCATTTCAACGTAATCATTTCGTTCTCCACAATAAACTTATTTAAGCTCATTTCGAGGTGCTTATAAATAACTTGCATGTTTCTAACTTGTCTTTTATTGCAGATCTCCACTAAAACAGGCAGGATAATTTAATAGTATTGTCTGTTTACAAGCCAAAGCTAAACAAGATGAATAGCAATTTCAGATTACCAATATTATCTCAAACCGTACATACATTCTTAAGCAAGGGCAATGAAATTCTGTTTGTGATATAAAACAAAACTTGATATTTATTGGATAGCAATTGTAGAATTTTAAAATTGCATTCGAGAATCTAGTTTTCTTTGTTCTTTTATTACATTTGGACCTTTAATAGTATCTTAAATATATACATATGTATCTTATATGTATGTATATGCAATATATGTTGTAAGCAGAAGATATTTTAAGTTTTATAATAATTTTTATACATATATTTATATATGTTTGTAAATAATATTAAAGATTAACATATATAAATATATGATATATAATAAGTGCAGTTAAGTTTTGTTTGAATGCGTGAGAGAAAGTGAATTTAGATATAAAATGCCTTTTGAAAAAACGTTACGTTTTTGGCCAATTATAGAATGATTTTATTGAATTTGTATTTCTGGATGAAATATTTCTGTAAACACATTTTATTGTCTATGTACATATCTTCAAGCTTCTAGTATGTGTCAGATTGAAAATATTTTAAGTTATTGATGGGAAAGTAAAGCTATATGTAGAAATTGAATGTGTTTCTACAATATTAACATTGAAATGTATGTTTATAATATTATTTACTTCTAAAAAATATGAATATATCAAATTCGAAATTTAATTTAAGAATGAATGAAAATCTAATTTCTCCCATCACTAATTTATACAATAGTATAAGGAATGAGTTTACGAGTATATATTTAAATATATAGAGCACATTATTATAGACTAGTTTATCCTCTTGGCTTTTCGCATGTACATGTGATACTTTATGATCTTGGCAGTTGTATTTGTTGTACTCTTGTACAACATAAATTTTGCTAGTGTTGTGAAAAACAATCTATATACAAAATCGTTAATTACTTTTGTTCCGAAATATTTACAAAGATCAGTTTTATGTTTTTTGAACTAACTCAACAGATTCTGTAATATAGTTGTGGAAAACAGAAAACATGCAATAAAGTCTGCACACCTCTGGAAGTTGGCATAGGCTATAGTCATTGAAATACATCTTACATTATAACTAATACTGCCACCTAATTATTAACATCAAGTGTACTTTAGAATGTCTTACAAGATATAGAATGTTGGATTGATTAGAATTTTCTTTATTTCATTAAAATATGTACGTTTGATCAATATTTTGAAGATCAGATTATAGGGGCAATTAGAAAGCCTTCAGAAATTCTACACAGCCAATAACGTTATGACCAGATATAAATTCGTTAAAACATCACCCGCCATATAACTCTCGACGTAATTTTAATTGTCTACCTGTAAATAAAAATTATAATTTCTTTTATGGTTTTGAAGCCTTTGTTATTTATAAATAAATTAGTATATAGTTATATCGACGGATATTCAGAAAAATATGTAGATGACAAAAAATATGAGAAAAAAATTATGTTTTTATACAATATTATATTATATATAAAAATATTTAATTATTAGAGATAATCGATTTTATGAATTAATTCTATATATTAGTCTTAATCTCAGATTTTATTTGCATTAATAATATGATGCATCCTTTGCTCAATTATGGATCATATTGATTTTTGCATCTAAATTCTCATGTAAATAAGTGTTTGATACAAAAATATAAATATATCAAAAATATTGAAGTATTTTATTAAATCATATGTCAATGTTTCAAAATTATTATGTTCATTGTTGCAAATTTCTTAGCTTTTCAATATGATGGGGGGACGTAAGAAATCTTAGTTTTATATAACATTTGAAGGAATGGAAAGAAAGAAGTGAGCTACATTTTGAGTTACATAATTTAAATCAAAAGTTATAATTCATACATTGAAATAATGAATACATTAAAGTTCAATTCGAGTTCTAAATTTTACAAGGTGATCATTAAACTTATTATAGTTTCAATAGACTGATACTATAACAATTTTAAGCGGAAAATATCTAAAGGCACAACTCATTATATAAGTATATATATTTATATATATATATATATATATATATATATTATATATATATATATATATATATATATATATATATATATATATATATTCTCTATTTTATTTACAATTGTCCAGTTAAGTACATTTAAAAATTTGTGTAATTTACAATAGTCGGCCATATAGGGACATGTTGGAAGGACAACTCAATTGTTGTTTTCCCATTCGTTATAATATTAACAATATTTTATTGATAATTATATAATCTTAACTATTTACTTATAAAATAATTTCTCATAAATAATGACTAAGTTATTTCAATTTATTATCAGGAGAGTTGATGACTTCCAGTGGCGCTTTTCTTTTCAACCTTCTTTGATAATTCTATGTTATCAAGGAGTTTGCTAGTAAATTTGAGTGACTGATGAGCTTGTTTCTATATTTATGTGCTTTTTTTGTTATTACATCATTTATGGTAGGTGTGTTTGTGTCGAGATGAATTAGCAAGTTCAGGATATATTTTGGTGTTCCTAAGGCCATTTTCAAAAATTTGTTCTGAAGTTTCTGTTATTTCTATATTAGTCTTATGAGCAATGCCCCACAATTGTATTCCATAGCACTCATTATATATGATAATAAATATATAATATATATATATATAATAAATTATATAAATAATATAAATATATTTCATTTCTATTGCATGCAACACTTTTAAAAAATAACATAATTTTAAATTTTGTAAATTCATATTTACCGCTCTTTTGCACGTTGCCGAACGTGACCAACATACACATACAACTTCACACCTGTCGATAAAATAGAGCTCAGGGCGCGGCCGATGCAGAACCCAACGAGACTTATCTGTCAAAAACGGTAGTAGTATTATTTAAATAATCCAGGAAAAGTGCCATAGTTTTTAAAATTAATTATTTAATCTGTTTCTGTGAAAATGTGTAAATATATAATTACTGTAGACAAATGTGATATAATTTAAATTTGAACAATTTGTGCAAGTGTTGTGCTAACCCGGTGTAATAGCTCACAGGATTGAATAAATGTATTGATTTTTTGGTTTCATCAAACGAATTGAGGTTTTTTAGACATTGCAAAGTACGTAAACCATATTCTAATTAGAAATACCATAGTTAAATAATTTTTCACATGCTAGCAATGTATTATTGTGCAAAATATTATTTTTATATGTATAATTTGGCTAGGGGTGTTGTTTCTTGAGCCCTCATTTCCATGCCCCATTTCGTATGTCAGAATGTGTGTTAAAATTATTAGTCATAACATCGAGGTCATTATTTATTTATCGATTACTTTTTAATAAACTAAATTCTTTTATGATGCCATGTCAAATTAAAAAACAAGGCCCTGTTTCTATATTTTCATAACTATTTAGCACTTTATCACGCTTTTCTCGTAAGAGTATGTGTCGCTTAAATAAGTTTCCGAGCATAAAAAATGAATTATAAGTTATGGAATACCGAATTGATTTAGTATTATTAAAATAAATTGAATTAATATTTATATATTAAATACATATTCTACAATAACTTTAATTTGTTCATATACAACGCGTTAATGACAATTTCAATAGACTTACCAAATTTGTCTATATTGTTTATTTTATATAACATTTTAAAACCGTGTGCTGTTAATGGGTCAATTAATAATTGACATAGATTATTCATACCGGAAAATCCATATTCTCATATTCATATTCGCTGGTTTACAATTTATTACAAGTTTTGTATGTTCACAGTTCATTTTTGATGTATTTATTTTCACAATCATATAGATTAGATATCATTCGAAAAATATTACATATCATTTATAACTCTTATTGGATTTATGAAATGTTTGTGATGTTACTGACTGACAATATTGTTTATTCAATTTTTAACTCATCTCTTTCTTAAATAATTTTTTGTACAGGTACTGATTTTTAAATGAGTCCAATCTAGTTTCTTCTTCTAAAATTGTACAGTATAGTGATTCCTGGTTCTGGTCTTTTTTTTACTTATTTGACTTTGTCTGCTCATGAATATACCTTAAAATTGTCTTTCCAGCTTGTGAAATACAGTTCTATTATTCTTCAATAACATTCCAATAACGCGATTTTATCATCAAACTAGCGTGCTGCATGGCATTTTTTACTTTTTTATTAGATCTTCAAAACTGCTGAACCTGCTTTCCCAAAAATGTTATCAGTTCTTCATTTCGTCAATGCAAATAAATTGTTTTTTAAATCATTTAAAACCTCAATTGCCTTTTTTACTGTTTGCCCCGTATCTTCGAAACGGTTGGACATGCCGTAGCCAAAAAATAATCAGCACATCCCCTTATTAATAGCAATCGAATGTTTTTTGAATCATTCGAATCGGTTGAAAATTTGTATCCGCAGACACACACATACATCCATTTTTTCCAAGGTATGCCAAAATTACGTTTCAAAAACCTTTGAAACGTAAAAATAAATAAAAATTTTCATCTTCGATTTTTTTGCTATTACTATAGCTTACCCTACGGGAAGTTAATTATGCATATATATCTTAGCTTTTCTTAAGTGTATTTTCTTTATTTCTTTCGTTTTCTTTACTAACATCACATAGGAATTGAAATTGTATATCTAAAAAATATATGATATTATTTCCATATACATATATATTTCTAAGTTGTAAGTACTATAATATTTTTATTAAAAAAGAACTGGTTCAATGGTATGACTATTATGTGATTAAATTTTTTTTTTATTTATTCTATTTCAAGCTAAAAAATTGATTCGGCGCCCCAGAAACTAAACAGCCGAAATGTGTTTATTTTCTCGGGAATCTACGTCACGTTTTAGCATAACAAAACCACCTCACTTTAAATTTCAGAGCACAAGAAACATTAAATAAATTCATCTTCAATTTATCTAACATTAACAGATATGATATTTTTTTGGATGTCGTGTATGTAGATTCTTGTGTATGTTAATTAAACAATTTACATAACAATTATTTGTACATTAGGATTTGTAAAACAAACCGACAATAAGCAGATAATGACTTATACACTCTGAAAGCATCGTTGTTTCGGCTTCGAATTCGAGTTTTAAATCATTTTAGTTACTGGGGAAAGTAATAATTTATATACTTATGAAATAAATTCTTATTGGAGTGATGATTTCTAATGTTCAGTTAAGGGGGCGTCCATTAATCACGTGAGCTAGATTTTAAGGATTTTAAATCTCCCCCCCTTGGTGATACGTGGTGATATTCAAAATTACCCCCCCTCCCCCTCCAAACATCACGTGTATTTTTAGTTGCGTGAAAAAACTAAAGTTTTTGATTTTTTTTTTGAGAATTCTGATTTCTTTTTAAAAAAATCAGTTAAAAAATAAATACACGTGATATCTTACCATACCCCTCTCTCCGCCCACGTGATATTTCGTGATTTTTTGTCAAACCCCCCCTCCCCCTAAAAACACCACGTGATTAATGAACGCCCCCTAATAGTAGCTGCAACTCATATTTTAAAGAATATTTCAAAATTTATTTTTTAATTATTTGGAGGTTTATATATAAGTTTTGTAAATGAATTCTTTTTGAAACCGAAAACCGAACTTTTTGCTAATATTTATAAACGCTACATACTTCGAAATCGTTTTCGTGCAGCATATTCATTAAATCATCAAATTTCTGTGAAGTAGTTAATTTTCAATAATTATTATTGCTAAATTATTCAGTCCGCAATCACACATGAAATAAATATTTTATTATGTATATCATACATGCTAAAAACAATTTTTGCAATAGGGTAGAGCGGGGCACAAGAGTACAATTTGACTTTGAGCAATTAAATTGTGAAGACCAAACCAATTATATCACAACAAATAACACATAACAAACAAGTTATCTGACTATGTTCAGTAAAACTTCCAGCTAATTGTTGTAATGTTTTTTCCAAAAATTGTCCTTTTTACTGTCCTTCATACATGCTAAAAACAATATTTGCAATAGGGTAGAGCGGAGCACAAAAGTCCAATTTGATTTTAAGCAATGATATCGTAAAAACCAAACCAATTATATCACAACAAATAACACATAACAAACAACTATCTGACTATTTTCAGTAAAACTTCCAGCTTATTGTTGTAATGTTTTTTGATTTTTTTCGAAAAATTGTCACTTGGTCCTTTTTACCCCATAGGCGGGATACAAAGGAATGGCCATGGGTCAAACAGGTTCAATGTCTTATTTTTAATTTTAAAGGGTTTTTGCGAAATAAAAGCTTCATTATTAAATCAATGCAAAATATAAGTTTCATTGGTACATTTTTGACAGA